GTGGTTCCCGAGATATTAACTTACCCGTAAAAAACTTTCACGGGGCCGTACGTGTTACCCGCGGGTGCGAGGAAGCTAAATTTAAATCTGCGGGGTCACACGTGGGCGGGGAACGTTCCCCTAAATTTTCAGCTTCCTAGCTTTTGTGCTTCTCGAGTTGAAAGTTGCGGACACATTGCTGTGGACACACACAAACACACACAGACAACCCCTTGACAATATGCGTTTTGTATTGCTGTTACACAGCACAAAACGCATAACAAAATAAAAATCAGGTCACGAAATTTCTTCTCTGATGAACAACAAAAATCGGTGGGCGATATGAATTAGCCTATTCATGGGATGAGCAACAAGAAGTACGTTTCGCGAGTGCCGTATGTCGTCGTAGTCGTCATCGATGTTGCCCAGCATGAATTCCCCGTCTTCCATTGGCGTGTTCGATCCTTCATCGGCGCCCAGCTCTTTAACCCTAGAAATGTGTTCGGTGTAAAGTAATCGTCCATGGTGGAGATGGATGAAAATGTGCAAAAAAACCAACATTTCGAGGGCCAATAAAAATGCATGCAAACGAAGCTACAACATACCGATCGGCGTAACGCAGTGTATTGAGGGTGTGTTCACAGCACGACATGCCCGGACTTATCATTGCTATCTATAACAAGCGCTGCTTAACACACAAAAAAGGGGCACAAAGTTCGGATAAGATCGCACAAAATAGCATGAATCGAGGAGCAGCGCATACCATACAAGTCCTCGCGTTCGAGCCGATGAAGCTGTCACGGAGCACCAATGTCAGTTTCGAGCCTCGGAACGGAACATGTGCCGAATTACGACCCATCGCCCTGCAAAACCGGGAATAATATGCAACACTGGAGCGAACTACTACAGCGATTATCGGCCAAAACAGTCTCTCTTGCGACATCAAAAAACCGAATATCTGTTGGCTTTGCTATTTTTCGTCTAATACGAGAATACAGTGACATTTTTTGATTGGTGATAAGATCAAACATCATGTAGACCCAACTTGTATGTATCATAAAATCTTTAAATGAACAGTTTCTCTTACCTGATGCATTCTTTCAGTGCCAGAAGAGACTTGTTGATCTCCGAGCCTTCCATGCGCGTCTGCCTATCCGTGTTAATCGTATCAACGCCCCTTTCATTGCCTGCCAAGTCAATCAGAGAAAATTTGCCCCATATACGTCCCAATCCCTTTTCCGTCCTGAAAACCGAAATGAAGCATAATGCTTTCCATGAAAAGCTCCATGAAGAAGATCAACCACTCCAGCCGATCGCCACAACGAATCCCAAATCACCCAATCACTTAATTTAATTTTCCAAAAAAAAAATAAAATAAACTTTTTGCGAAGTATGATCTGGAATACGGCATGCGATCTGGAGGAGTTCGCGTTCGCTGAAGTTGTACCCGCTGTTCGAACCACTGTTCCTTTTTTTATAATTTCCAGCACCTACAAACAACACATTACGACTTTTGTCTCTTATCACCTAAAATATCCGAGATAAGCAAAAAAGAGCAACATGAATTGAGCACTTTCTCTCGTTTTTTCCAGTTAACTTATTAAACACTGCGACCGTCGTACTGACGAGGTCCTGTCGCATTGCCGAGTTAAGACGTATATGACTTAATGGACCGAAACATCTCATCTCATTCTTGCCTCCTTTCCTCATAACTGTTCCTGCTTTCTGTATTCAATGCTCCTTTGATACTTTGGCATTCAAGGTCAATCTGGATGCTACAATCGGCTTATAGCAATTTTTAAGTTTTTGACCAGATCATTCACCACTAAATATGCTTGACAAGTAAACTAGCATTTTCTCCGCTCCAGCTGAGCCCTCACAAAATCATCGCATCCCGACAACCAAAGATCCCTTCTACCTGCTGGATAGCTACAAGAACATTTCGACAATGCGCATAATCTAATGTTTTCCCGTGACTTGACCAGCAGGCAATGGTCAAATTTATGGACACCTGCAACGGGAATCAGTACATAGGCACACCCTAATTTGGGAAATCGTACAGTCTCAAGGCTTTATAACAATAGTTATTGTTGCAACATAAAACAAATCTCCGGCCAAAAGTCTAGTGGTTTTCCACATTTGCTTTCTATGAGAGACGGAGGCACGCGGAAATTACCCTAAGCAGTATTAATATGTCGTCTTATGCTCGTTCTAGTTATGTCACCCAGTACCGGTTCACCCTACATTTCCGAATTCCATCTGCCCACAGGGCCCAAACGGCCCGTGGGGTCTTTTCCTTCCACTGAGCGTGTACTGCCCTTATTAAGCAGCGGATATTGGAAAACCATGGGACGTACTTCGTCCTCGTCGTGCACAGCCACCTCTTGCAGTCCAACCACTTGTACCTCCTTTTTGCCGTCTTCCAGTACCCGTAACATCGCTTTATTGCCAAGCAAATCGAACACCTGAAAAAGCTCTTACAGTTCGTTTCGTACTAAAATAAATATTTAGGGTTTGCTCCTTCCTCTTCCCGGTGTTTCTTAACAAAAAACTCGCCTTGCCACCGTAAATTTCGAAAAAACTGCAGCACACTTGAAGATTTTGCCGTTTGTATTCTTTGTGCAGCAATTTGAAAACATCACTAGCAGTGAGTGCGTAAATGCCCTTCGAGCAATCCTGCAAAACAAAAACATCAACCATAATCTGGTGTATTGATAAAACGGCTCACAGTGGCAAACAAACATCTAATGAACCGCACTATGCCTGCAAAAACCTGTGCTCCACTTTCTTCTTGATATTTTTCTTTCATAGCAAAATTGATGTTTTGTTGGTTTTATTAAAAATGGGGGAAAGAAACAATTTCTCAAAAATGTGGTTCACCCCACCACACCTGAAAGATAAAGGCAATTTGCACCATAAAATAACACCATACACATAG